CCTCCTCCAGCAAATGATGCTTCTGCAGCCAGCCCCTCCCTCGATGGGTTGCACCCTCCTCCCAACTCCTAAGGCTGCAGCAGTCGCACCCGGTTGGGGCCAGGGGCGGCGGGGTCTCCCCGGGCCAGGCGTCCCCTCCTGGGATCTGGTACCTTCTCCTGGGACAGGGTGCTTCCTAGCTGAGTCCCGCCCTCCTCGAGGTTCCCAGGCCTCAGGAAGAGGAGGCGGGGTCGGACGCCCACCGCTCCCTTCCAGGCTCTCAGCAGCTCTCTGGCTGGATCTGATCCTCAGGTCCTCCGCACGTGGGCCAGTGCGCCGGCGCGGGCTCGCCACCTCTCTCTGCACTGCGGACTTGGGGCGGGGTGCGGTGGCGGTGGAGCGAGGACCCTCCACGTTGCCCGGGAAACCGCTGGGCCATTGGCGCGCGCGGGTCACGCGACAAGCCTGTCGCCTAGGCCTTGGGCGACCTGGGACCGCGGGTGACGTCACCTGCCGCTCTCCCCCTCCCACGCACACATCTGGGCCCCCGGCGCGGTGGGGGGGGGTGTCTCCCGCCCCTGACTACCTGGGTTCGCAACTCCTGTCCAGAGTTCTCCTGCCTCTAGCATTCCCTATGTGGTTCCTTTTCCAGGATCCTGGCCAGCCCCTATCTCCTGGAGGATAAGCTCTCAGGGCCTCCAGGCAGCAGAGTGATCAGGGGTCTTCTCACAGGAAGCCACCAGAAGGCTGCCTGAGGTGCGTACTGCCGTGTAGTGGAGCCTTCTGACCAGGGTCAGGGAGCAGGGGGCTCTCAAGTTTCTTCCTCTGGTGAGTCCCCACCCAGGACTAGTCCAGTAGCTGGGTTGGACTAGCAAGCATAATATGTGAACTGAATGCCACCTGTGCTCACATGGGCACACACTCCACCCCACCCCACCCCATCTCACTGTTAATCACACAGCGTCCACCATCTGAGTGATGTGTATCCTGGTGGAAGGTGTTGCAGGCAGATTCACCACCATGGAACGGACCACTGTGCTTTGCTGTCCTTGGTGCCGGTGGTCAGCTTCCTGGAGAGTGATCCAGCACCAGACAGGCCTTTCCTCCTTTGCACTACATAGGCCCAGGGCTGTGGAATTTGAAGGCCCATTCCTGGTGTTGCTTTTCTTGTGCTGTATCAGGTATCTGTAGTTCTGTATTTGTTCGTCCCCGATGAAGCTGTTGAATGAGGAATGTTTCACCACCCTTTGGACAGAACATGGTACTCCCCACTAATGCTCTGTTAGTTCTGCCAGGTCGGTCCTAACCTGCTTTGCACACAGCTTCTCTCAAGCCACACAAAGGGGATGGGGAGTCCAGCCCATTGTGGTTGATGCTCAGGTGGAGTTTACTCATCCAGCTAGGTCTGGGAAACCACCCTGTATAGAAATGTGGCAAAGAACTCATGGGCAGCCTTCTGCTTGTGACCCTTCCAGTTGTCAGGGACCTAACAGCAGCAATCCCTGTGGCCTTTTACCTGGTCAGACTATATTTTCACTAGGTGTTCATGGAAATCTTTTGGTATATGGTGCACTGGTTAGCTTTTGTCAACTTGACACAAACTAGAGTCACCAGGGAAGATGAAACCTCAACTGACAAATTCCCTCCAACAGACTGACCTGTGGGACATTTTCTTGATTGCTGATTGATGTAGGAGGGCTCAGGCCACAGAGGGTAGTGGTATCCCTGAACAGCTGGGCCTGAGCTGGATGAGACAAGTAGCTGAGCAAGCCGGGGGGAAGCAAGCCAGTAAATAGTCTCTGCCTCAGCTCTTGCCTCCAGGTTCCTGCCTTGAGCCCCTCCCCTGACTTTCTTCAGTGATGGATTGGCATTTGGAAGTGTAAGATGCAATAAACCCTTTCCTCCCCAAGTTGCTTTTGGTCATGATGTTTATTGCAGCAAGAGAAAAGCAAACTAGGACATGTTCTTACCAACCACTTGTGGTAGGTATTAACATCTTTATTTAACTCACTGGCGTGAAAGAAGTTGTCATTATTCAAGGTCAAAAGCCCTATTGCAGGGAATGTTGAAATTGGGTCCTTGTTTGGTATTCTATCATTCTTTGAATAGAACTGGAATAAATTCTTTCCTGGTTGTTTTATCCTCTTCAGAATTTATTTTCAAAATTTCTGTGTACTCATGGTCCCTTGGAGGAAGAACACTGTCAAATTTACTAGTGAGAGATGTAGCCCATCTTCATAAAAATGCAGGAACATGGAAAAACGTCATCCTCTGAAAGTGGCAATTCCCCTTCCATATGTCATGGAAGTGTTTTGACAGTCAACCATGTACGCACTGGTCCTTAAATCATCTGCCAGATTGTTCACAATCCGTTTCTCTCATGAAGCAACTGCAGCCAATGCAGCAGAATGGTTGTCCTCAGCCCACATCCTGATCTCAGCTTTGTCATTTGAAGGCTCAACTAGCCACAACCCAAATATTTATCTGCTCAACACATAGAGGTATAAACGCTGGTTTAGAGAAAGGACACTGCTGACCCAGGGTCAAACTAAGCAAACAGCGGAGCTGTGAGGGAGTAAGGTGATGTCTACCCTTGTCAATGAAAAGGGGCATGTCAGAGATTTCTTTAGGAAGGAATCAGAGGAAGCCCCAGCCAGGTGCAGTGATCTGTGGATGTTCTGAACATCAGAAGTAGACAATTGGAGAACACCGAAACTGAGGCAAATATGTTTGAATATATTCATACTGAAAACGTTGTGAACATGTTTGTAAAGTTAATCGTTGGCCTTGAAGCCAGTAGAACTGTCCTATTTGCTTTTGGCTCCCCATGTGTGGTCACAGGACAAATGCACCAGATATGGGAAGCTGATGGATAAACATAACTTCCAGTGTGAAAGTGTAGCAGACTTTGGAGGAGGCAACCGCAATTTCATTTGGCCTTGCTACCATAGCATAGATCAGCAGTGAATAACAGGGCACTCAGAGGTCAGATTCATGGACCTCCACCTTTGGAGACTGATATTCAGGCTTGGGAATTTATTTTTACAAGGGATTTTGGTCATTAAATAACAATACAGTCCACAGTATTTAACATTAAAAAGTATAAAGGAAAGTAATACAGGAATTAAGAGCTGAAACACTGCTAGTGAGGCTAACCCCTGTGCTGGGTAGCTTCTGTTGTCACCGTGACACACCAAGGTAGAGGGAGCCTCAATTAGGGAATTTTCTCCATTGGACTGGCCTGTGACCATGTCTTAGGGTATTTTCTTGATTTTTGAGTGCTGTAGGAGGGCCCAGCCCACTGTGGGTGGTACAACCCCTGGGCAGGTTGTTCTGTATTGTATAAGAAAGCAGGTGAGCACGGGCCACCGGAGCAAGGCAGTGAGGAGTGTTCCTCCATGGCCTGTGCTCCAGGTCCTGCCTCCAGGTTCCTGCCCTGAGTTCCTACCTTGGACTCCCTCAGTGATGGCCTGTGACCCGGGAGATGTAAGCTAAATAAACCCTTTCCTCCCCAAGTTGGTAGTGGTCAGAGTGTTTTGTCACAGCAATTAAAGGCAGACTGAACAACCCCCTTGCACATTCCCATCCCAATTGTCTTTCAGCCTTTCCCTCACAGACTAGATGGGAACACTGTTTTGCATTTGCATTTTCTTGTTCTGCACTTGCTACAAATGAAAGCATGCATCCATTTTATTAACTCATCATTGTATTTGAGAAAAGCCACCATTGGATAAGGGCCATTTCTGATTCCTAGTCATTCTTTTCCAATTTCAGTCTTCCCCTCATACACTGTTTTTCACAACAATTCTGCATTTTGTCTCACGATTCCTTCCAAATAAATTACTGTTGTTGCATGGCCAATTACCTGAAACACGTTGACATGTAACAATCATCCCATATTCTGCTCACAATTCTGTGATATCAGGGTAAGGATACCTGGGCAAATCTCTCTTGGGATCTCTCAAGCGATTTAAGCAAAATGTAAGCTAGCAGTCTAATGGTCTAAAGGCTTTACTGAGGTGTACATCCAAGATGGTTCACTCACATGGCTGACACTGAGCCACATTTCTTGGCACTCACAGACAAGAGATCCCAATTTTTTTGTCTTTTTAAGATAGAGTCTCCCTGTAGCCTCAGTTGGCCTGGAACTCACTAGGTAGATCAAGAGTGACCGAGATCTCACAGAGATCCAACTACCTCTGCCTTGACCTGGCAAGAGATCCTAATTTTTATAGATGTTTAACTCCTGCTGAATCACCGTCCTACAAGAAAGTATACTGGGGGCAAAATTGAATCGTTTGCTCAGCCTAGGCATGGCCACAAACATCTGCAATGCCAACACTGGAAGGCAGAGACAGTGGGTCCCTGGAACTCACTGACCAGCTAGCATAGCCCAATCAGTGAACTCCAGGTTGAGTCAGACGTCCTGTCTCTAAAATAAAATAAAATAAAATAAAAATAAAGAGCCACTCATAGTGGCCCATGCCTTTAACCCCAGCACTCAGCAGGCAGAGGCAGGCAGACAACTATTAGTTTGAGACCAGCCTGGTTACACAATTAGACCCTGTCTCAAAAAAATAAAAAAATAGCAATGAGGAAGATACCCATCATCAACCTCTGGCCTCCATGCCCAAGGGCACATACACATCACAAAGATAGTGTAGATTCACAATTATCAATTTGTGAAAATCATAAAATTCCCAGACAGAGTGATTATTTCAACAGGAGGAATAGAAGGAAGAATTGGTTTTAAAAATGTTTGACTAATTCCTAGTTTGGTGGGAGGGAAGAAATGAGACTAAAATCTTTAGTAAGATTCTAAACTGCCTTATGTCCTATGAGACAAGAATACCACAGCACTTTGCTACTATCTTTTCTCCTACGCAGGAAAAAAAAAATCACACCTTAATTATTTAACAAATTAGTAAAACACTTGGACTCCAGTGAATTTTTACTCAAAGTTAAATTTCTGGAAGTGGTTAACTAAGTCCAGAATTATAAATTTCTCTAATCATCCCAATATTTAGAAGTCATATGGGGGCTGGCAAGATGACTCAGTGGGAAAAGGTACTTGCCACCAAGCCTGATGACCTGAGTTCAATCCTAGGACCTGTCTGGTAGAAGGAGAGAACAAACTCGTCCAAGTTGTCCTTTGACCTCCACACATGCACAATGGCATGTGCATGCACACACAATAAATAAATAACTAAATATATTTTTTTTAATGTGGGACTGGAGAGATGGCTCAGCTTCTCTTTAAGAGGACCCAGATTCAGTTCACCCACATAGTGACTAAAAATTATCTGTAACTGTAGTTCCAGGGGATCTGATGTGCTCTTCTGGCATCAACAGGCATTACATGACA